TCAATGCTTGAAATTCTTGAAATCAAGCCTAGGCGATGTCTATAACTTCCTGAAAGTTACTTCTGATCATCCTATGAAAGATGAATCAAAACTAATGTTAAACCTTACCTTCACTAAAGATCTATGACCCACAGTCGATATAGAAATCTTTGCCTCACAGTCAGCTTTCTGAAAAATGGGCCCCACTTAGCATGAGCGTCTTCTTGGCATCAGATATTTAGGGTGTATCTGAGAACCTAGAAGTTAAGGCACGAGCACAAATGGTGCATCCGTGGGCACTACAACCTCAGAACCTAGGGATCAGGATCTGCACTTCTATTTGGGTCCCCATAAATAGTACCCTCCCTTTTTTCCATATGGGATTTTATTTGACTTGGGGAGTAATACATAATGTATATAAAATATAACACTTCTGTAATTTCCCAAGGGAGAAAAAATAAGCAACTGAATGATTTGGGGGAAAATCCCACAAAATATTACCAAGGCAAAGAATTCAACTTTTTCATTTAATCAATTTTAGACTTCTTGATATCTACCACATTATTTCTCAAAGTACTCATGTGAGGGATTGGTCTTGTATTTTCAGTCTGAAGTGGGTCAATCATCTTTAAATTAAACAATAAAAATGAACTACTATAAAGTTAAGGAGAATGTATAATATATAATCCAAGGTTGTTGGTATGAGCATGTTGATAAATCCTTCTGTCAAATTTCTATAATGTTTTCTATGTAATTCATTTTAATTTTTTTTTACACCAGACAACAAATAATTTGTAGACTACTGAATGGCACTTCTCTCACCCATAGCTCAACTAGTTTTCAGCTAATTTACCTAGACCTACTAACAAGTTGGATGATGGCTGGTGTGTAGGATACCTGAAAAAGCAGTTATTACCATAGGAGCAGTTGAATGAACCATGGTCAACATATAGAAATGTAGCTTTCTTAGGAGTTACCTTCTACCTACTAAATTCTGTTAAATATCCAAGGATGTGCTGGGAAAGAAATTGTCATTAAAGGCTTTGTCATTAAAGGCTTTGACATTTAAACCGTAACCTGACTGATGGAAAGTAATCACTCAAGTGGGAGGGCAGGGAAGTCATTCTAGTGATTAAGTTCAAAGCATGTAAAAGTACCCAGGTGAGAAAGAGCTTTGAATGTCTTAGATGGGGAGAGCATGATATTAGTTTGCATTGGTTTGGCACCAAGTCTCATCACATCAGCCCACCACATTTCAACTGTAAAAGAGAAGGAATGGTGACACTTTTCAAAAACCAATGAGAAAATTTACCTTAAAATATATTTTCTAGTATACCAGCACTCAGTTAAATTGGCTTCAGACAAGCCACTCCATTCGTTAAAGTAAATTATTTGTAAGCTATCATGCCCAGTTGTCTAATAACGACAGCTTTGTGATACTAGCATTACAATCCAAAAAAATCACTTTACCCTCTTATAACCAGTATGAGGTATACTAAGCTGTCAATCTATTTAAAATTAAGCTATCAACTAAACAAGCCAATTGATTCATACCTACACTCTCTCTCAAGCATAGTGCTTCATCCTTCAACTTGGTACATAACTGAACTCAGCTAACAGCCCACATTTGTCATGTTAAATAGCACAGCCTCCTAGACTTTTGGGAGACTAGATAAATAATATTTGTGTTTTTATTGTTTCTTCCTTGCCCTGATGCCACATGGTGATCTGAAGGTGATCACATAGGTGATGGTGTTGGGAGAATGAGATGAGGCCAGAATGCAAACAGGAAAAGAGAAGTGAATATATAAAGTGCTCAGAAGAAAAAACCCACCAACCTAGATATCTATGCCCTAGGACAAAAGCTTTCAAAGTAGAAGAGAAATAAATGTTCTTATACACGCAAAAATTAAGGAATTTTAGCCGGGCTTGGTGGCTTAGCCTGTAATCCTGCGCTTTGGGAGGCTGAGGTGAGTGGATTGCCTGAG